AAGTGCCCCAAGGTACGGTTCAGTTTTTGGTGAATAGCTTCGCAAAAAACGGCCGCAGAGCGCCGATTTTGGCAGCAATGTGTTCGCCTCGCTCAGGCGCGTCGAATGATATACTTTTTGTCCGGGTCAGGTCAACTTGGGGTGTTGACCTCAGGTCAAGGTCAGGTCAGCACCCCCAGGTCACGAAGTTGGTCAAAAGAGGTCATGTCGCATATCATTCGATTCGGCAGGCCTTCCTGAGTCCATTGGTGGCTTTCGCGACTCGCTAGCTCAATTTGATCAAGAGTTATTGACGAAAAACTAATATGACCTTGATGACGTCATAAATGACGTCACGCAAGGTCAACATTGCAAAAGTGACGCATCTAACCTTGCAAGGAGTGCATCAAATCACGATTCTGTGTGCTTGAGATAGTTGGAGATCGTTACCGGCGCCAGAATAGCAGTTTTCATTTTTCCCCATTGACTTATAATGGTGAGGTCACGAAAGGGGCATTCCACGTCAAATCAAACACCGAAATCCGTCATCCCCTTCGATTTTTCTGAAAATTTGTAGACAGACTGGGCATGGCTCAAAACTGAGTTACGTATAATATTTTCGAAATTTGATAAAGTATCGCTGAGATATAGGTCATCGAATATAGCCAAAAATGCCACACATCAATTTTTTAAATGTCTATAACTCTGGTTCCTTTTCTGGTATCAAAATGATATTAACAGGGTCTTGTAGGCAATTAATAAGGCTTTGATTTTTAATTATAAAATTAAATTGAAGTGACCTTGAAATGCATTTGACCTTGAATTAAAACATAAAAATTTAAATAGCAAAAAACACGTCACCTTCGATTTGGGTAATTTTTACATATTATGTCCGTCACAATGTTCCTAACCATCTGTGAAAAAATTGGAGTGGGCCATTCATAACTCTCGCGGCAAACGCCGTTTTCATGCATCAACATCACGCAACCGCGCGTGACCTTGAAAGACAGAGTCAAGACATGCTTGCTTGTGTACACTTTCTGAAATGAATGATTGCTGATTAGTGATATCCCAAACTCTGCGAGAATGGAAAAACATAGTCATCGTAGTCAAGCATTCAAGTTCCATAGTAAAAGTGTCTCAGGCAAACGGTATTTTGCGGTGAATTTTGAGCCGTGTGGAAATGCATCATGAAGCCAAAAATTCAACGAAAACATTATCACGCAACGATATCTTCACGCCTTTTTATCCTCACTATACGAAAGAATATACATTTTTGAGTATGTATGGGGAATTTCTAGTTAATCCAATAATAAATATGGCAGTTAGAGACCTGCTAAAAGTAACATGTCGGCGGCTGAGGCGGGATCGGCCGACGCGGGAAACGCAGCAATCACAATTTGGTGTTTACACGTTCATATTTCAATTGTTTACCAACCGATTTTCAAAATTCATACACCATAAGATTGCCTGTACATTTCTTAGTCTTCTCACAAAATTTGACGCAAATCGAACGTAATCAGCGGTAAGGAGCGCGATGTAAAGACGGAACCGTTCCGTTCCGTCCCGGCACAGTCTACAATTCAGGCGGCGGCTAGCGGTCGGCGCCGGCTGCCGAGTCGCCGCGGCGACAGGATGTTCACTTTACACCGCTATTACTAGACCAGTTGTGAACCGATTTTCTTCTTGCTTGCACGATGAGATGTGCAATTCAATTTTGGGCAGGTAGCTTTAATTAATTTCGCATTAATACTATGAGATATTGGCGAAAAACAGGAGGGGTGGGGCGAAATTCACTCTTGCCCCTCCACTGCGCGTGCTAACATACGTTTGCATATGTGCCATTTTCTTCAAAACTTATGAATGGCCCACTCTAATTTTTTCACAGGTTGTTAAGAATATGGTAGGCAATAAAATATATGAAAATTAGCCAAATCGAAGGTGACGTGTTTTTTGCTATTTCAATTTTTGTGCTTAAGAACAGAGTTAAGCATATTTCAAGGTCATATATTTAAGTAGGTGCAATTCTAAACAAATGCTTAAGAAATTACCTAAACAGTAAGGTTTATTTCATTCAAATCAAACAAGTACAACCATAGTTATGGTCGTTCAAAAATATAAAGATGCAACATTTTGTAAAAATTCGATGCCCTATATTTAGAAGACCTGTGGTCAGAATGTGCAAAAAACATCAATGTAATGTTCGGGGCGACACAGGAACTCGCTCACAAATTTATAATGAAATCGCTGATGGTAAGGTGCAAAACAGCCGATTTTTGTTCGATTTGACGTGGAATGCCCCGAAAATGACCTGACCTCATATGACCTTTAGGAAAAATCCGAGATATACAAGTTGTGAGACTCATAATGGATACTAGATCCTGCAAGTTTCATTTCCCTGTGACATCTCATCTGGCAGTGAGGGCGTTGCGAAGTTGCGACATCTGAAGACCGTGCAGAGGTTCACTTATGACGTCATAGGTCAGTGACCTGACCTGACCCAAAAATGCGGTTGGTGTCAAAAGATTCGGCTTGGATCAAAGATCAGGTAGGGGAGAGTGGGGTAATTTGGCCGGTGGTGTAAATTGGCCGCCCCCACCTATACGATGTCTAATAAAAGTAAGTGAAATAACTCTAGTCTCTATTCATTTGTCATGGGTAGAAATAACTGGAGGACAAATGTCAAAACTTTGCCCCTCGTAGTTTTATTCAAAATTAATAAAACGTTAATTTCATTAGAAAATGGTAACTTTTACTTCTGTTTACAAAGTTGTATAACATGTAGTATTTGGACTAAAAACGAATTCAGACATTATAGCGCCATTCTTGGGGGTGTTCAGCGGTTCCAAGAACAATTTTATCTAATTCCGTAAAGCCGTGATGACTTTATAGACAAAAATTTTCAGAATGGCAATATGGGGTAATTTGGCCGGGACTAGCGGGGCAACTTGGCCGGTGCGCTCATGGTCACTATGCTGGGACGGCCGAGTTTTCATGGTCAATTGTACCATAAATGACATGATTCATGACCATTGACCAACTTTGACTACTTTGATGCCTTACTTCCGATTGGTCAACTGTAAGAGCATGTGACGTCATCAAAGGTAACCAAACGTTTTTTGCTAATAAATCCTTACATAAAAATGGTACAGCCGCACAAATGGTCTCATTCTGTTCAGCTCGCCAAGGCGCATCGAATGATATGCATGATGACCTTGAAATCACGTGACCTTGAGGTCAAGCGACCTGATGCAACGTGACCTGAGGTCAACCTTTGACCTTGACTTCTCAAGGTCAACACATATATCTTTTGATGCGGACTGACGAGAGAATTACGATGGTACTCGAAGTTTTGGCCCAGCTTGATTACTTCAAAAGTTATTCGTAAAAAAACTGTGATCGCATCTAGAGCCGCTAATTTGGCTATTTTGACCCGTGTGACCCCTGGGCCAACCTCCAAAATGCGGCAAATGCGTCATAGGACACACGTCATTGCTGAATCTGAAGCTGACTCGCAATATAACAGAAAATCCCGACCGCAACCTAACACCGGCCAAATTGCCCCACACCCCCGGCCAAATAACCCTGCTAGTGGGGTAATTTGGCCGCCTTGCAGACCTTTGTAATACGTTACAATTTCAATATAAGTAATTACTCTATCATTTCAAGTTCACTGTCCAGTAAAGTAAAATGAATGCGACACCTGCCAGCGTTGAGAAAATGCAGAAATGTGTCGTCAATTTTAAGTTATATCGTTTTCTAAAAAAAGCGGCCAAATTACCCCACTCTCCCCTATGCCAAGTTTCAGCTCTCTATCGCCAGCGTGTTCGGAGCTATCGCGAAAAAACCCTATGGGGGGGGGGCGGCACCCGCCCCCCCCCCCTCGGCCGGCGAGGGATAAAGCGTCTTATGTTTTTTAGAAGCACAAACGAACGGGACACTCATAACGATAGCCAATCAGACTGTAGGTGGTCATGGCCAGCCGACATAACATCCATCTATGAACTATGGCGCACGCGAGCGCGTGCTGACGGCGCACCCCTGGTCCGATCACGCCCAAATTTTAATACAAAGGCCGCCCACGCCCACAGATTTGGCATGCCAAATTTCACGCCGATACGCGGCGCCTTTCAGGCGCAATAAGACACATAAGTCATGACGGATTACGCACGCACAGACATCTTATAATTCATAAGATAGACTAACATAGACTACATTATAATTTATATCTTTAAGTGCGTGGATAATTAAATTCCACAGCTGCAGTGAGGTGAATACCTACCAGCAAACATGCCGCTATTTACCATTCGCTGCTCGACCGCGCCAGTTTTGTTGAAATAGCGTGACCTGGAGCTGTAAGTCTGCACTTGTGAACGTGCTTCGCCGTATATGCAGGTCCGGTGCAGCCGACCCATCTCCGTGACCAGACAAATTGAGAAGCATGTAGTTCCCGAGAGGCAAGTGGTCTCCCGAAAGGCAAGTAACTCCCAAAAGGACCGTTTCCGCGAGAGACAAGTGATCCGGCCTTTTGCACTCTCATCCCCTTGTGACGATAGTTTTACATCTCCAGGTGATCCTCAATAGGCAATTGATGCCATCTTTACATGATCGCCGAAAAGTGATTCACAGAGACAGTCGAATCTCTAGTGGTGATGCGATTCACCAGCGTTGATCCCTTAGCTCCTTTCGCGGTGATCCCAGCGTTTAATTACTTTTGACTGATTTGAGTGTAGCTTGTGAGATTCCTTTCGGCAGCTCGAGTCGGTGGCGAGAACGTCAGACATTTTTATGCCGACCTTTCTTTTAGATAAGTGTGCATCTTAGTGATTTCGCACGCAATAAGTGCGTTAGACGGTACTCACGGGCTAAGCACTAAGCAGGTTCATCAGATGAGCAAGTATACACATAGCCGATTGAACGTCATTGACCTGAGATGACACTAGTCTCGGGTCCAACATCAACATACTCAGGACTCAGGACTCAGGACTCTGGATGCACACGTTGAAGCCGTTCTCACTCACCATGGCTGCCGCCTCCTCCTGCGTCTCGTGCTCCAGCAGGTTGGGCATCCTGGTCACATTGTACGGCATGTCCCGGCACAGGGACACCGTGATGGGCTCGCACTTGTGCCGGCGCGGCCCCTCGAGCGCCGAGCAGCCGGCGGCCGACAGAAGCACCAACAGCAAACACAGCGCACCCATCTCTCCTCTCCGCTCAGTGTGACACGTCCGCCCAGCGCCGCGGCTGCTGCGAGACTGACCGCCCTCCGCCCGCACCCTGTACCTCACTGCGCCGGGCGAGCGCCCGGGGACGATCGGAGAGGAGGTGTAGAGGGCGCCACTGAGGCGCAGAGGGAGACACCAGGCACCCACTAGGGTCGGTAGCTGGAGGGGCGACCGCCAGAGAGCGCCGCAGGTACAGAGGGCGCTATGAGCCAGCCCTATCCCACTGTGGTATGGCTGGGTCAGCCGAGGGACCACTGCTATAGAGAACGTCATGGGCGAAGAGAGCGCTACAAGGTGCTGGCCGAAGTGTCGTGCCTATACAGAGGGCGCTAGTGAAGAGAGGGAGCCACCAGCTACAATTAGAACCTTTCTTGCAGCATGGAGGACTGAGAGAAGAAAGATGCAAGGAGCAGGTAGTTATGCCGGCAGGCGGTATGCTGAACCTACATAGTACATATGCATTCAGACAGAATGGGGCTCTTACGGCACTCTTACGGAGTGACCCACCAAAAGCCAGTGGAGTAACATGATAGAACAATTTTATTCAGCCCGCACCGGGACAGTGCCCGGTGGTCCGACTTTGATCGCAACATAGCCGTATTATCCAGGCATGGGGGGTGATACCACGTCTTCTACGTCCCAACCTTTTGGTCATTTAGTGATAAACAGCAAATGTTTTCAAAGGATTTTAACCCTCGCCCGTAAACGGTGTTTTGCCACCGTTTATTTGTTTTAGCGGAAAAGACCAACAGATTGCTCTTGTAAGGGCAAAATTGAGCGCGTCAGAGAGTGTGTGGAGCGGCGGGCCGGAGAACCAGAGTGCGCGTTAGGCCAGTCCGCCGTATGTTTGCCTCCGGCGGGAAAGGCGTGCCCGCCGGGTGAAAGGCAGCGGCTGGCCGGCACCTGGGACTCGCGGGCCCGTCTCTCGTGGCATTTGCCAGTGCGGTGTCGTCGGGGCAACATCTTTCGGTAAGCGTACTTTTCCCTCCCCCCTAAATTAATGCCGCAGCGCCCAGGCGCTGCGGAAGTCCCCGACAAATGTCCTGGATTTCATTTGGCTTTCCGACCCGCCGCAAATAGCGGTGGGCACTCCCGTTTATATCCAGGACAGTCTCACCTAAATTATATTCGTCGGCGCGGCGCGTAGCGTGAATGAGTGTGCGTTTGGAGGTGTGATATGGGTAGTGTGCGTGAGCGTAAGTGTGTGAACCATAAATGCCCCTGGTCTAACGATACGAAAATACAGCGTAATGGAATGTGAGCAAAATATTTCATTGGGGGAATGGCAGATGCCGGGCTGATACACGGTGAACGTGAACGAACAATCATACGGGCCGCTTAGTTTAATACACCCGGGTGGCAGGCGGGCATTGTAGAGTAACTTTGATTAACGTAATGTCTGTAGATGGGGGGAACCAATAAAAGGTTGCAGGTTCCGATGCGAGAAACCCCTACATAAAATGGTGCATCGACCGGGAAATCTTTCCCAACGGAGGTCCGGACGCCCGAAGTGTTCCTTCCGCCATAATCTGCGGTACGCGACAAGTGTAGAATTCCGCTCCCCGGGGTCAGTGCACATCGGTACCCGGGCGTATTTGCCGCTTCCGGGCACGCGGTCCACCGGCCCGTGTCATGCGCAACGGAAGGTCAGCGCTCCCCGGGATAAAACGCCGATCGGCCCTGTAACGCCGTGTGGGAGGTCCGGACGGAGCCCGGGTGGTGCAGAGGCGGATCCAAAGGACATGATGTGGGCGGTGATTTCCGCTCCCTTGGAAAGCTTTATCGGTCGTGCTGTTCTTACTTTTGGCTTCAATATCTTGTGTAAATTATTGCTTCCGTACTTTTCGTCACGTTCACACGCGTGAATCAGTCCAATTAAAGGGGGGCATGGGGGGACAATTTGCCACCGCAATAATGAGATGAGAGATGAGGGCAGTCGGTTCGCGCGAGACCGTCGGAGATCGGGGATGAGATCGACGGCGTTCGGCGGTGCGGAAGAGTTCGCTCGGGCGGAATGGAATCCGCTTGTACGCGAGAGGAGTGCTCGCGTCGTCGTCGGTCGCGTGCGAGCGTGCAGGTTCGCCCGTTCGGCGGAATCATAGAGTCCGGTGACGAGTCGTCACCGCTGGTGTGATGGCAACGAGGAGGTCGTCACCGGTGAGTACCGAGGGCCGCGAAATACCCCGGTATTTCAGTATTACATGTGTGGGCGTATGATTGGATCGTTTGGTGTACAGGTATGTTACGGTTGGTGTGATTGAGTTAGTGCGAACAAGGTCATGTGTGGTCACGAAAAGATGCGGAAAATTGAATTTTACTTATTTGTCATCAATTTGCTTTCATGATTAGTAATCAATTTGCTTTCATGATTAGTAATCAATTTGCTTTCATTCATACACCTGATTTAACTATGTAGCAAATTGCTTCATGTGTCGCCTGTCATTCACGCCTCATAATGAGACCATAGAGGCTTTAGACATTTCCTGCGATTGCTTGAACAATCGTTTAGACCACAGGGCATTATGTCTATAGTCTTAAGTGCAGTGCATCTTTGCTGTGCATATTAATTGCATCTTAAGATATTAACTGGAATGTCCATGGTTTTACGGGATATATATAGGCATAATCGGTGCAGTGGATCGGGGAAATTATGGTTGGGTGTTTTTAAGCGGAGTTTTAAGCGGGGATGACGATCCCTCCCGTAAAGCCGTGCACTCAGTGCACCTTGTGGCGCTGACGAGTTGCCATTAGGACGGCATCGAGGTTGTGCGTGCTTAAAGCGGGCAAGCTTAGCTCGGCAGCAAAGCCCTGATTAATTATTACCCCACGTTACACCAAGATGAGCCGCACATTCTGGCAGCTGCACCTTTTATATCCGGAACCCGATGTCAAGGTCTGGCGCAAGGCGGTGCACGCCGAGCACATTCTCCTCTTTTTTTTTAATCCAGGGAATGGATTAACGCTTACGGTTCATTGCAATTTCTTCTGATGCAAACGTAAAATGTCTTGTCAAATCTTCAATGTTATGTTCAAAGTAGTTCATTAGTTCGTTCATTCCATGCATTTTTGCGTTGTAATTTTGCTCAAAATGTGGTAGCGATACTCAACTAAGTTCAGTCACGAACCAGAAACAAGTTCTAAACAGCTTTGATTCCAGGTTTAATGGCAACATTTATTAACCAGAAATTCTTCAAGTGGAGCGCTGAGTGCTCAGTCAAATGTTCCATGCTGCATAAGTTCGTATCTTCGTTATATAGAATTACAGTTTATGATTAAATGCATTGAGTAATATCGGATGAACCCAGTGCCCCTCAACCATTTCATGGTAACTCAGTAGGACGGTATCTCTTGGACCATTTTCGGCTTCGAATTGACAGATAATCCGGAATTAATCTTGTAGGATTTTCAATCCTCTCTAAAGTGTTGCCAGGCACTAATCGTCACCTTGCCGTCAAATGGAGCCTAAATCATTTCGTAAAGTAGGAAATTTAATTTGTTCTGTATAGAAGAGCAAAACATGTGTTTATTGGACTTTAAAATGCACACTCGAGGCAAATACATTTGAATCCACGTGGCGCGGATTCTATCCGTCGCGACCGCACACGTCATATTCGAGCCTCCCACCGAAGCTGACGCGGCGGGAGGTGACACAAAGCCCTAGTTGTTGAGCCGACTCCGTTCGGGACTGCGCTCCAGCAAATTCAGCAGCACGGGCCCATCCAGTGACTTTCCTGGACGGTTATGGTCTTGGCGCTGCCGTGCGCTGCCACACCAGTAACGGGTGATTTCATATGATGTATAATATAGCATGTGCCACATTGTCAGTTCTCGCGTGTTGTACAATGCTTGTTGTTGTACAGCACGGGTTAATTCACTATGAAGCACGTGTTGTATTTCATATCATATCATATTCCTGAGCGGTGTGTGGGTGCCCGGCTTAGGCTTCACTATCATCGGCCCGAGGGCAGATCGGATTCGCCTGATTGCCGATATCCACCTGCTCAAGCAGACGGGTTGGATCCGACCCCCGTGCTCCTACACCACGCGCACCTGTCAGCGCCCGGGCCGGCGCCGGACCGAGCAATTATGGTCAAGCCGCCGCGCCGCCCGCGCAAGGGGGTGGCAGGTCCGCGGCGGGGCCCTCCCCGACCGTCCCAGAGAAGGGACGCATTCCCATCGTGATGGGATCGCGCCGCCGGCCATGGGATCGAGCCGGTCGCCACGGGTAGGCCACCCACCCGACCGAAGGCGAGAGCCGCCACATGCACGGCCGATCCCAAACGCCTCGGGGCGGGACAACCCGCGCCCCGCAGAGCGAAGGTCCGCCAAGGAGCAGCGGCGAACCGGGCCGATCCGCAATAACAACACCGGAGTCATTGGACTCGCCCGTCGCTGGCCGCCTGCTGCCGAGCACTGCACACCCCAGACGACGGTGGCTTTGTGTTGCCGATTGATTCAAAACCAATGCGGTCATTTTGATGTCTGAACGCTCTTTGATATTGACTAGTACATCATCTTGCGGCCATGCTCCATGACATCCATAATTTTGGAAGATAAGACTTATCGTTCCGAAACGGACCAAAACGAAATAATTGAAACCAAAATCAGTCAATGCGTCACCGAAACCTTCTGATTAATCGATATACGGCGCCATGGCCGCCATCATCCTCCTGGAAAGTTGATAGCAAAAAGCGCCTCTTACGGCAACAATTAGCGTAGGTATAGAAAGGGACATTCTTCATACAAAATGTTCGGTTTCATATTCTCAATGAGTGTCCCGGCCATATTTAGCAAAGTGAGCGATACGCCAAAACGGGTGTCATTCTTATAAATTCGCATTCGAACTGCGTGTGGCGTTCTATAAGTTTTGAACATCGATTCGTAATGCACAATTTGCTCCAGGTTTTGTCAGAGAACTTATTTGTTTTAACGGCAGCATCAGAGCTGAGGCAAAAGAACTCAGTGCGGTACAATAAGTGTATCGTCTGCCAATCAAAATTTAGCATCAGCAGTTCTGGTGATGTTTCAGGAGAACGGTCATTAGTGTTCTCATTTACCCAGCATTAGTTCCTTGGGAATGACTCCAGGCCCGAGCGCAGTCACCTCGGTGTGGTGTCTCCGTCATGGAAAGGCTCAACAGCCCCCGCACCCACACCACAGGTGCCGCCGTCCTCAGTCGGTCGGCAGGATGGGCCGGCGTGCCGCGCCTCGGGCGGCGTCGCTGCGCCGTTCCCCATCACTCGGTGACTAGCCGAGTGAAGTGCGTGCCGCGCGGCGCCGCACTGTGCGTAATCACGGCCGGACCCTCCCTACCGCCACCGGTACCTGATCCGACTGGACTGGCCCCTGGGCCGATTGGACCGGATACCTGGGTCGGTCGGACCGTCAAGTTGGCCGACTGGGCTGCGCACCTGAGCGAGGGGCTAAGGGTGCTTTCACCGGCCTGTGGGAGTTCGGCCGGGTTACTGACCCTCCTGGCCCACCACCATCAAAACAAGTCCACCCTCCGCCGTTCGGCTGGCCAGCCGGTAGAGGGGAGATTTGAAGGCTGGACGGGCCACAGCCGGCTCGACCTATATTTGCGTACGTTTATTTAGGAGCGCTCTGCGACGCGAGCAAATGTATCATATAACCGTACACATTGGATGGAGATGACTAAAGCAATTTAACTGTTGGGGGGAAAACGATTAGGGGAAGTTTTCGTTCAGATTGATAACTTTTGCCGGAGGAGTTTGACGCCCATTTGAATTTCAACCGCTCATTTATATTATTCCGATCTTTTCGCGCACGAACACGGGAGTGAATGGAGCCTCCGCGCGGCCTGGCCGTCTGGGATCCGGGTAGGTCCCTAACTCAGCCTGCCAGTGCCAAACAGCCCTTCCCTCCGCCGGTCGGCTGATCTAATCACCCGTCGGAGGGCCGGCCTCTGAGGCGCTGGGAGCGAGAGAGGCACCTCGCCCCTGATCGTTGAGGCAGCGTGGGAGTGCTGCCTTTGGTTATCCTCCCCCGAGGGGAGGATGGCGCAATGGTACCTGACCACCGAGAAATGAATGTTGGATTGATCAGCCGAGTGTGGATGAATGAGTGTTGAAGTAGTGTTTTTGTTATGTGTTCAAACTTCATATGCACATGTAGTTATTAGTATGCGCCGCGCGCCGCGAAAGAGAAAGAGAAAGAGAGGGTCGCACGAGAGAGTCGTGCGAGAGAGTCGCGCGAGACAGAGAGTCGCGCGCGCGAGAGAGAGAGAGAGAGAGTTGCACGAGAGAGTCGTGCGAGAGAGTCGCGCGAGACAGAGAGTCGCGCGAGACAAAGTCGCGCGAGAAAGAGAGAGAGAGAGAGAGAGAGTCGCACGAGAGAGTCGTGCGAGAGAGTCGCGCGAGAAAGAGCGAGAGAGAGAGTCGCACGAGAGAGTCGTGCGAGACAGAGAGTCGCGCGAGACAGAGTCGCGCGAGGAAGAGAGAGAGAGAGAGAGTCGTGCGATGAAGCGCCCGAGAGCGCCGATCGGCACGCGAGGGGTGGACCGCCGCCGCGCCGTGGGTCGTGGGGAGAGACGGGGCTGGGGGAGGGCAAGGCAGGGGTTTGATTGTGTTTGTCCGGGCACTGGGGAGGGATGGGTCTCGGGCTGGGGAGGGAATGTGTTTGTGCGGGCATGGGGCCGGGTAATGACTGGGGGAGGACACTTCAGTGACTAGGGAGAACCGACGAGCGGCGGACGCGTAGGAAGGAGGACGTGAGGGGAGCGAATGGACTGACGAGACCATGACTGGGGTGAATATGGGGATGGGGAGACATGATTGAGGTGAAGGAGCAATGGATTGTGAGTGAGTGAATGAATGGGGGGACATGGCCGAGGGGACGACAGAAGCGGATTGCCTGAGTGGAATAGAATAGAGAGATGTGTTGGGAAAACAAATGCAACAAAAGGGAAGGGACAAGAAGACATTGACCTCAAATTCCTGAGCTAGCAAGGGCGTGTCAGGAGCGGACTTTCCAACCGCCCAAACTAGACATTTAACGCATTTGCCCCGTACCCTCAGGTATTCTCGGTCAATGTCTTTGACGCATGGACGGACATATGCATGAGAGTGGAGAGGCAAGGTGGAGGAGCCGGGAAATGGAGGAGCAGAATGAGTGAATGAGTGAGATGGAGAGAGAGA